CTCGAGTCAATTTTTTTCCTTAAACCGGAACGATGGGGAACTTTGAGAAATTGTTTTTTATTGTGTTTTGAACAATTTTACCGATTTTCAGCTGACAGCGAATTTATGTAACTTCAAATGTCTAGATTGACCGGACTACAAGAAGATAGAAAAGAAATTATCTCGGTCAATTGTGCATCTTGCACTATTTTTTATTTTAAGATTATTATAACAAATGGATGCACCAAGCAAGTTGACAAATGTACACATTTGTGCAATATGATAAGATATGATAGTTAACTGACAGAAATATTAAAAATAATTTTATTGTTAATGTCATTAATGTGTAGCAACAGATTATTGACTTAGATGAATAATTTGTAACAAGATAAGTTGACATTATTATTTGTCGCTATTTTTACGTTAAAATGACGTCTTTGGCGACAGTTTGACGTCAAAATGACAACTAACATCAGCTGGTTTCCTGGGTCAGGTTTTCCTTATTTTTTATATATCTTTTTTAATATATATATATATGTATATACATATAAGGCTCTTGGACACATCTAACAACATTGTGCTCACATAATTTTGATTTACTCATCAAAGAATTAACTATATCTGTTTTAACCTGCAACGCAATAGGTAATTTTTGGCATTTTTTATATATGGTTATATTATATTACGTTATTTGTATGCCAATATTTATAATGTATTCTTTTTTAGAATTTTTAGAAAAAGAATTTTTTTTGCATTTCAAAACGAACTCAGAATTGATGACATACAACTGAGTTCTTCTTCAATTATCTGTGCTATCTGGGGACGTGTTACTATTTTTGTCGCAAAATTGCAAAAAATATTCCTGCAAACACTGTAAATATGAATGTTGCATAACTTAAATTTCTATATAGTATATTCGCTTTTATATAGAGTTACATTCTTTAGGTAGTGTCCGATAAATACATCCAATATTCGAAATAAATAAACATGCAGCAAAAGTTTAATGCCATTGTCTTTCCAAATATTATATTTTTAAATTTCATAAAACAGGCTTAAAGTGACTAAAATGATCAATGAGATCACAATGAAGCAAAAACTTGGCATGCCGGCATTTTATATACATCTTATCAATTAAATATTAATGCAATCCGGGCCAAGTTTTTGTTTCACTGTGATTCCATTAGTCATTTTAATCACTTTAAGCCTGTTTTATGAAACTTAAAAATATTTGAAAATACAATGGCATTAAACTTTTGCTGCATGTTTATTTATTTCGAATATTGGATGTATTTATCGGACACACTATCCTAAGAATGTAACTCTGTATAAAAGCGGATATATATAGAAACTTAAGTTATGCAACATTCATATTTACAGTGTTTGCAAGAATATTTTTTGTGATTTTGCGACAAAAATAGTAACACGTCCATTTCCCCAGATAGCACAGAGAATTCAAAGAAGAACTCAGTCGTATGTCATCAATTCTGAGTTTATTTTGAAATGCAAAAAAAAATTCTTTTTCTAAAAATTCTAAAAAAGAATATAATTCTTTTTGCACCTGAAAATGAACTCAGAATTAATGAAGACATACGACTAAATATACGAATAAATTCTTTTCGAACTCCGTGTGCTATTTGCAAGGTCGATCCTTCATGTGTAATGCAGTCAGGATAATAATCTCAATTGTCCAAAGAATGATGACGAGTAATTACAACATGACGAAACACATACGAAATTTGTTCCATGTGTAGGTTTTTTTTTTACTATAAATATATAGTACAATACATTATAAATATCGGCATACAAGTAACGTAATATAATATCATCAATATCATCATATTTAAAAAATGCCAAAAATTACCTATTACGTTGCAGGTTAAAACAGATATAATTAATCGTTTGATAAGTAAATCAAAATTATCATTGAGCACAATGTTGTTAGATATGTCCAAAAGTCTTATACATATATGTATATATATATATAATCGAAAAATTTTATACATGTACATAAAATAGTTTTTGAAAAATAACGAAGCGGTTTTTCAACTTTTTGCATATATGCAATATATTGCAATATATGCAATATATTGCAATATATATGTGTGTATGTGTGTACGTGTATTCGAGTAAAAAAATTACAAACATGCATATATTTGAAAAAATATATATATATACATTATGTAATTGCAATACATACAATTTTTTACACACATACACAGTTATCTGTAGATATAGTTATATATATTTTTTTTTTAGTTTTTTAACATGAAGTTAATAAATCGCATCTTTCCTTTTGTTGAATTTATTCTACTTCAATCACGTTTATATTAAAAATGTCGAAAAATCGTACATAAGGTAAAAACACGTACGTATTTTGTGCACGATTCATCCAATGAATAATGTATGTGGGACGGAAGCCGCTTGCAGGTGAACTCACCTCCTTGTACATATATCTAATAGAAAAAAGGCAAGTCAAGGATATAGGCGGAAAGTACGAGGTCAATAACCAAATCAAATCAAATCGACAAAGCGGTGTTAGTTCATAATCTATCGGTTTTCTTATTTTTATACTTGCAAAGTGTAATCGATAAGTCCTACTACATACTATTGCTTCAATAGCATCTGTCAATATATACACGTGTCAAATGCAATCACAAATGACGTATTTATGCATTCGTATATATATGAAAGACAATTTACTTTCAGAATTGAGTATCTTTATTAACAGAATATCGCACGTGTTGTGTATAACAATTATATGTTGCACGTAACATTATATATTCTATCAGATATATCACGCTCTCGTTGATTCGTGAGAGCCAACTTTGTCGTAAGATAAAATCATAAATAGTCTTTTCTTTACAGTAAGTGCAATATCGGAAATACAGCAATATCGTTAAAATGGCATATTTGAGGTACATAACGAATTATCTCAACGGCAGCTTTGTATAACGATACTCCTTCGTATCTTATACATAAAAAGTGAAATATAAAAATGCATTCGGCCTGGCCTTTCCTACCTTAGAGGAAAAAAAAGGTCGATATTCGACTTTTCTTTGGACTCTATCTCGTTACTGTTACTTAACAATATCATAATATCCAATTTATGTGGCTCTATATGTAACTAGGCAATCGTCACAATGAGAAACGTGACAAGTAATTATTCTGCTTCCATGATTTCCATCGCAAGTTTTGGACTTCGGCCCTTACGACTTGGCATAACCGTTCAATGTTGTTCGTAAATATCTTTTGGATGATAAATTCAGGTCACTTCTTGCGGTGTTTAGGGTAAAAACTGATTTCGTCTTTATCGTTAGTACGATATTTGCATACGTACAATTTGGTGACTAAAAGAGATTTAAAAAGCGAGACCAGCTTCTGAATAAGTAGTGAATATTTTCTCAATCGAATTGGCATACGCAGCTGTCCTTAAGTCAAGTCCCAGATTGAATTTCATGGCAGTCTTCATAATAGCCTATTGAAAAAAAAAAAAGAATTTATGTTGAATATGATTTTGTCTAACTTAAGATCCTTCTATATAAGTCGCTAAATCACAAAAAGTAGTTTACATAACGCTTGCGAACTATGTACGTTTTGCAATTAGTGACTCATAAAAGGGACTTTATATCGATTAGTTCTAATTAATTACCCTAGCGGATCTCTCCATTGTATAGTCCAGACCAGAGTGAACAATATCTTTTTCGGAAGCGCCAGATATACGTTTCTGGAAGGCTTCGGATGGTGTGACGGGAATACGGCCGCCAACACGACCAAACCTACGCTCTAGAGACTCTTGCACCGATTCTACGAAGCAAAGACAAATTTGTAAATTACGTTCTCAAAAATTACGTGCATATCAAATTTAACTAAATTTATTCGTCTAAC